TTTTTTTTCATACAGGTTTCTATTAATGACAGAGAACTTGAGTATTCAGTTGGTATTCTATATTTTTCATCTTAGTATGCCCATCAAGTTGGACTCTTAATTTAACACAGACCAAATCTGGTGTGTGTGTGTGTGTGTGTGTATGCACGCTTCTCATATGCTGTGTTCCCATGATACGTTTACCCATACTTAACAGTTTAATCAATTAAACCTTATTTTCTGAATTCACATAACACGTTGACTACGGTGTAATGTGGCTATGTATGGCTGTGACCCCAGTAGGTCTTTTGCATGTTGTGCAAATCCAGATTAATTAGGCAATGATTAGAGAAAGTACTCCAAGGTCACTTAGGGAGCTCTTTAGCTAAAGCTTTTGGCCCTGACTCTGCAGAAGACTTTGGCGATGAATGTAGCTGTAATCTCATCAGCTAGCTTGCATTTTAGAGAACGTTTGTTGCAACACATGAAATGATTCATTGGAGTTGTTGACAATATATAATGCCCTATCCTGGTCTACATTTTGGACCAAGAACTAGTTCTACAAACTTTTATTAATTTGTTGCTCTATTTAAATTAATGAAGCTGCATATTTCATGTTCTTATATAGCATAAGGGAAGCTGTTCCTTGAGTGTCATCAAGCCATTTAGGGAGCTATACGAATGGAGGGTTTGAAGTTTCTCCTTCCTTTTTTCCTTCTGTGGTCTCTCGCTATTTCTAGTCAAATTCTAGCTTCTTAACGAAGTGCAGTGCAGATTAGCCATAGTCCAGTTTTTACCTGCTCTAAGGAGCAATGACAAGAAAAACTGCATTGGTTGAATTTCTCTGATGTTTAAAGGAATAGAGTTCCTGTCATAACTTAAAAATTGCAAACTTATACATATTCACTCCATGGTACCTTGAATAAGTTCCAGAGATATTGTTGGAGATTTAATTTCTTCTGAATAAAAGAGCACTAAATACTGGTGGTGTTTTTGCAAAATATTTTGTTTACAATTATACAAGCAGAGTGTAATTAAAAAAAAAAAAACCTAGGAAAATCTAGAGGTTGCATGATCCAATTGAAGCAACCCGTAAGTTGAGGCAACAGAATGAGAGTCGGGGACCTTTAAAGTCCTTAAAACCCTGGCAAATGCACACACTCTAAGCACTGGTTGGCTTTTTCTGGAAATCAATGGCTTTTTCACTACTATCTTCTGCCAGCAGCAATGGAGACTTTAATAATTGAGTAGAAGAGGAATTTCAGCATCTGTTCTGCTCAAATTACAGAAACATTGTTCTTTTTAAAAATTTATATTAGGCTCCAAGACTCAAGAACAACATAAATATTTTGGATTAAGTCCTGGTCTATTATCCACTGATTAAAATCAATTTATAGTATCATTGCATGCATGTAACTAACTAAGCAATGTTTTTCAAAATGCTGTGATCCACATTTTGTTCACTGTGATTTTCTTTTGTTCACATGAAAAGGAATGTAGTGGCATACTCCAGAACCAAAAACAGTGGTGGGATTCAATATTTTTTTTTACTACTAATTCTGTGGGCGTGGTTTGGTGGGCGTGGCTTGGTGAATGTGGCAGGGAAAGGATACTGTAAAATCTCCATTCCCACCCTACCCCACTAACCTGCTTTCCAGATCCTTTCTCCTGGGCACGGCAACCAAAGAAGACCCATCCGATCAGGTGGGACTCGGAAGGCAGAGAATAGATGGGGGTGGGGCCAGTCAGAGGTGGGATTTGCCAGTTCTCCAAACTACTCAAAATTTCCGCTACCAGTTCTCCAGAACTAGTCAGAACCTGCTGAATACCACCTCTGAAATAGCCCCTGTAGCTTTGCTTTAAGAGTGGAATTATGTCTGAAAATTAGGAGGTGAAGTTGCTTGCATCATGAAGAGAAAGACTGCTGTGTGTGTGTTCATTCCTGCCTCTTGTAACTGTTGTTGAAGCTCCTGTTGTTGCCCTGGTCCCAAGAGTCCGATAATGTACCTTGATTGCTCTCTCCTTTTTCACAGGCTGCAACCATCAGGTGGAATTTTCAACTTCAAGATGGCCTGATCTATTATAATTTATTAAAGGGTTTCATTCTGCTTTTCAGCCCTGACTAGGTCCCCACAGCAATTTACATAACATAGAAAAACCAGCAGCAAGTAAGGCAACATTATAACATTTTAATAAGATGAATTAAAACTTCACTTTTATTTTTAAAAGAAAATTAAGAACCAGTGGAATAAATATTTTTGCTGGCTTATATCCCTACTAATTACCTCCCTTTTACCATGATTTTGCTGAGTAGCTATTAAGGTGCTTCTACTGTTTTCTTATGCTATTATTATTTGGGTTTCTGATTTTCATCTCTACATTAAGTTACATCATAATTGTACACATATTTATTCTGAAATGTGTCTATGGATTGTATTGTCCTTGAATTAAAAACTACCCAGTTACATTTTAGATTAGTATATTGTAAAAGCTCAGCCAAGGGGTTAAGCTTTAATATAACACAGAAAATTGTGTTGATAAGATATTAGGTACAAAGCCATAACATTTCCCCCCAAATATCTTAGTTAAGACTTGCAAATTTACTAGATTTTGGCTGTGGCCTGTTTCACACAAATTGACTTGAACTGCAACCCATTTTGTTTTGTTTTGTTTTCCTACAGATTAGATAACTAATGTCTCATGAGTTCCCATTCCCTCTGGACCCCACAGTTTCCCATCATTTTCAGCTGAGAAACAGATACTGAATCACAGTTTGAGAAAAAAATTAAATCCTTGAATTCCACTCAGAACGTAAATCCAGCCACTCTGTGGCCTTCAGCAAAAATAAAAATGTTAAGTATGGCTCTTGGCCATTAAAGGTTTATCACTGATTTAGCATGTTGCATCAATTTGGTTAGTGGTTTACTCCTGTGTGAATCTTTTTTCTATTTTGAAAGTTTCATCTGTATGTTACTATCTATTGTATATGTTAACTGATTTTAATTTCTCAAAAGGCTAGAGATATTTTTTACATAAAGTAGAATAATAACAATAAAATACTCAGTGACCCGCTGTTAATTCATGCAAGTTGAATTCAGAAGTGGTCATAAGTTGATACTTTCTCTTTGAAATAAGATGAGTATAGATGGGTATATTTAAAAAAAAACACCTTTCCCTAACCAGTATACTTACTACCTGCAACAATATTTATATCTAAAGTTGACCTTGATAGAGACTATCCCACCTCGCAGGGTTGTTATGGGGGGAAAGAAGAGGAGGAAGGTGTGTTGGAGATATTCACTGGCTTATTTGTAAAAATAATAAAAGTGGAATATAAACAAACTGTATGCAGCCTTATGTTCAAATACAGTTAAAACTTAAGACTAGAAAATATCTAGTTCAGCCTATTTTTTGACCTGCTTTTTTTCCTCTGGTGTAATTTATTATGCATGGAAGTCGTAAAATAACAAGGGCAAAAAGCTTTGAATGCTTTGAGCAGAGTTCAGACAAGGGCAAAGAGGCTGGATTTTTTTTCTATAGGGAAAACCTGCAAAGGAATTTCTGTTAGGAATAACAAAGATTGGCTGCTTTTTACACAGCATATAAAAAGTTAAAATGTTGTCTGCATTTTTAGCTGAGGAGATGACAGCACCTATGGAGCCCCCAGCAATCTGGAGCTTGTTAAAAAATTATTGCTGAAGGACTTTGTAGCTCTTTTTCTCATTTGCATTTGGCCATCTCTGATAGAATTTCATTTTCTGTTCCAATACATAAAGACAAATAAGTAAAATAAGCATAAGCAAAAAGAGGAAATAAAAATTCTGCTCTTGTAAGGCCAAGTCTTCCCAACTATCTTTAGAAATAAACTCAAGAGTTCACCAAATTAAATTTAGGGATGAAGGACTCATGACATTTCTGATGTTGCTAAACTATGGCATCAGTGTGGCTAATGGCAACATTGCAATTGAATTGTTCTTCAACAGCTGGATGGGGACAGGTTCATTCTAATTGACAAAGACCAATCTTCGTAGATTTAAACTATCTTAGACTCATGGTAGGGTTCATCCTGTTGAAATTAACCTCATTTACTCCTAAGTATATTTATTTCCTTTGGTATTAAGACTTGTTATTCAATCAAACATGAAATAGGCTTAGAACTGATCTGCAGAACTCAATTTAGAACAACTGTTTTGGTGCAGTTCTTAGATGTCCCCCGAGCTATATGGGCTGGGAATCTGGGAAGCTACAGTCTCCCTGTGTATCTGCTAAGTAGCAGATAACTCTATGGGCAGTTGCTAAGATAATATATTGCAGAACAATCCTATCAAAAAGCTCTCCGAAGTTGTAACAATTGTCTTGGTTTAGTTTACTATCTGATGAAAATCCAACTAAGCCATGAATCGTGGTTAAACAAAGTATGGCTTAGCACAGCTGTTATGTAAATCCAATTGCAGAGAATTTCACAATCAAGCACTAACTCTTTAAAGCTCTTGGTTGTATTTCTCTCCATTGTACTGAAATACTCTTGTATTCATTTTCACTGGATGCAGAAGAAAAAACAGCGAATAAAAGGGGGTGGTGGGGGGAAACAGGTCTGCATCGCATCGACCTGAGAGGTCTCACTCAGGAATAAAACACGTTTGCGGAGGTTTATTCCGAAGCATTGCATCAAGCAGCGGTTTCCCGATTCCCAGGCATGTGGTGTTTCAGTCCCTTTCGGGGAGGGAGGGAGGGAGGGGGGGGAAGCTGGCGACGGCATCCTTCTTATTTCCCCACAGTTAAATGTCTCCAGTGACTCCCCTTTGTTGAAAGCCTTTTGTGGCTGTCCGAGACGCCACGGCCGGGGCATCGGACATTAGGAGGCCCGACAGCAAAGTGGGGGACCACAGCTAGATCTCCAGCAAGGCGAGAAGTTCTTCCCCCACCCTTAGAAGCAAATCTCCAATGGAATGAATGGAATATAAATACCAGCCAATAAGCAGCCGGCTTAGGGTGCATATAAAAGGGATGGGAAGGTGGAGGGAAAGGCTTCATTTCAGGCAGGTCTTTCTGGCGGAGCTTTTCCTTTCGCAGTTTCCTCCGAAAGTCTCTAGGTAAGTGCGCAGGGCGAGCGGTGCCGGGCAGCCCCTTTTTGGGCTTCGGATTAGAGCTTGACGTTGGCGAGCTGGACGCCCGGCTCTGCGGCGTCTTCTGAGGAAAAACCCGAGCAGGCATTTTACTGGCACGAAAAGACCAGCATTGTTGTTGTTTCTCTCTCTTTGCGAAGGCGCGTTTCTTGAAGGAAGCATCTCGCCCTGGGGAGAAGGAAGGGCGACTCGGGGTCTGCTCTCACGCCGCAACGATTGTAGCTTCTTTCTTGGACCGAGAGAGAAAGAGAGAGAGAAAGAGAAAAAAGCGCCACGTCCAGAATGTGGACGTGTCCAAAGGCTTGGAGATAACGCTTCAAATCTTTGCAGGAGTCCTCGGTTGTTGGTTGTTTTTTTCCCCCCACCCTTTTAAAAAATCCGACTCCTTTCGTTGAGGCGCGATGCTCGGACGGCTCCGGCACTCGCCCTCTTCCCCCCGCGCCCGCCCGCGCGCATGTAGAGGACTTAGGGTTTTTCGCGCAGAGCAATTGGCTCCATTCATCTTGGTTACGTAATGGTGGCCCGTTTCATTTTCGAGGTCGCTGCTTCTCCTGAGGCTGAGATGCCCCCAAGAAGAAAGCGCATTCCTGGGCAGTGCACGAGGGAGGGAGGGAGGCCGCCTCTTTCTTGCCCTTATAAAGCAGGGCTGCAGGGGAGAGCGGGGGTTCCCTCGCTAGTCTTCGGGAGGGCTACAGAGGGAAGCCAAGTTGCGCCAAGCCAGCGGTCCCAAATCCCTGCCGCCTCCCGGCCATTTGCTCCCCCCAAGGTAGTACAGCCTTGCCGGAACTGTCGCGCATCGCAGCTCTCCCGCTCAGGAGACCTTCCAGGCTCGAGCAAGCCAAGGGAGAGAGCGCGGGTGGAACTCGGCTGCGATACATCGCAGCCAGCGCCCTTTCCCCCCACCCTGCTTTCTGTTTCGATCCACTTAAAGCCTCCCTCCCGCCTCCCGTGCCTTTTTTTCCCCCCCTCCGCCGCGGCCGCCACCTGCTCCTTCCGACGCGCTTCTGCCGGAGAGCCGATGGAAAGTCGTAGGTAGATAACAACCCCGCGGCCCTTTCCATCTGCGCTTGTTTGTGCCAAAGCCCTGCGCATCCCTAACCGGCTTCTCTTCTCTTGCAACAGAGAGGTTAGGTGCCTGGGGCGCGGAACGAGGCAGCCCTGACGAGGGGAAGGCTAGAATTTAAGGCTGGCTGCCTCCTTGGGCTTGCTTGGCAGGGCTCGGCTCTCCCGGCAGCCGGGGGGCGGCTCTTCGCAAAGGAACCCGTGGCTGAAAACCCACCGGAAGGGAACTCGGGGTTCTTTCTCTCTTCTGCAGCAAAATGTCTGCTATCTTCGAGGTGAAGGTGACCTCTGGCATCCAGGAAAAAGGGAGGGAGGCAGGCGTTCTTTTAGAAGCTGGGGGGAGGGGGGCAGGTAGGTGTCTGGGCTTCCTATTCCTGGTTGCTCAGCCACAGATCTAGCACCTTGACCTTGGCCAAGCCTCTTAGTGTTGGCCCAGCCTGCACGCCAGCGGTATGGGGAGGAGTTGAGTAATATTTGGCAACCCTCCACAACTGCAGGTGCTATGCAGTGTTGAATTGAGCAGGTAAGGGAGAGACTGACTGCAAGGTGACCTTGATCCTGACTAGCCTTTTTCTGCATAACTGAAGCTAAAGTTAACACCCTGCAAGAGGCAAAATGATGTTTTCCCTCCCCTCCCCCCCCCCCCTTTCTCTTAGCTCCTTTCAGACAGGCCAGTTATGCCGTTTTCAAACAGCCACAATCTTTGCAAGATGAATTACTGCGCGGAAGATGAATACCCAGATCTAAGTCTCCATAACAATCACATGGCTTCAATTCTGACCTTGGAGTTATATTCAAAGCTGAAGGATAAACAGACTTCTAGTGGATTTACTGTGGATGATTGTATTCAGACAGGGGTTGACAATCCAGGTAAAGGAAAATGGCTGCTCATTTAATTTCTGTCTGTTCCTTTTTTTAACAAGGAAGTGCTGTGCTGCTTTAGAAAAAAAAACACCATCTGTGAGAATCTCCTGGCAACCTTTAAAAAAAAAATCCTGCAAAAGTGTTTGTGCAGAATCTTGATAGCAACAAGAATGGCTTTATTTACTGACAAATACAAACTTATTGATTCCTTCTGCTTATCCCCCCCATAAATATTAATGTTGAATGAGAAACTCCCTTCCCCTCCCAGGAAGTCCCAGTTCTAAATGAATATAATTTACAACTGTAGTTTTTAAAATGACTCCCTGGTTAAGAAATACAGCTGCTCCTTGGCAAATAAAGTAGGAGCAGATTTCAGCAGTGGGGATATTACTGCATTTTTCCTGCTACTCTCTAGCAATATTGAACTGGCACCTTTAATAATTAGAAACTGCCTTCCAATGAGACCATCCGTGGTCAAGTTTCCCCAAAAGCCATGTAGCTGATGTTCTAACCCTGAATCTGAGCTAGAAATTGTGAATCCTTTTCCTTGTAAGATGTTATTCAGTCTGGGGTTGATAATCCTGCCAAAGCCTTGAGCCGGTGAACTGGCTAATGCAGATACAGGCTTTTGGCATGAAATTGGCTATGGCCACAGAAATGCAAAATGGCTGAAACAAGCCTGGTTTAGATGAAATGCTTGTTAGTTGAGGTTAACTGTAGTATGTAATGGAGCTTTTTAGAATGGCTTTTTTATGCCCTTTATGTCTTGGAAACCCTCCTTCAGAACTATTAGATGTGATGAAGAGAGGACCATTAACTTCTCCTAGCCATTAACAAAGGGGTTGAATTAATTGAAGTCTCTCTGGCTAATAGTCACAATGACTACTTCTAGAAATAGACTGCTGAGTACACGTTAATCAAAACAATAGTGATAAATAGAGCCCCTGTGCTCTACAGTCTCACGTTTCAGAGATAACTGTAGTCTTGACATCCTGTTTGCAAGTTTTATGGAGGCACCTGGGTATCATTTGTTGTGGACTGGATACCAAACTCGCCAATGTTATAAAAAGTCTGGGCACCAGTGACTGATAAATTATAATTTGATAATGATCTCTAATGAAAATGTATATGTCCTCAGAGGTGCTTAGTCTCTATGTGATAATGAGAGTGAGCTGGATGGTATCTAAATTTGATAAATAACAATTGCATTCAATTTTAGTGATTTCTGAGCATTTAGGCATTTGAGTTCCAGGCCACTTTCCTGTAGGTCTGATAGAAATTGATCCATTAAGGCAGGGATCTCCAACCTTGGCGACTTTAAGCCTGGTGGACTTCAACTCCCAGAATTCCCCAGCCAGCAAAGCTGGCTGGGGAATTCTGGGAGTTGAAGTCCTCCAGGCTTAAAGTCGCCAAGGTTGGAGACCCCTGCATTAAGGGATGGCCTTGCCAGAGAAATACCTGGCTTATTATGAAGTTGATTTGTGATTTTTTTTTTCAGACACTGATTACAGTCTTCCTTAACCTGGTAACTTCCAGACATTATACTTTACAATGCCCATGGGAACCACTGGCTAGCAGATTAAGGACAATGGTAGTTTTGCAGTTCTGAGGGTTGGCAGGTTAGAGAAATTAGCCCTGCTTGAAATCTCAGAATTTAAAAAAATCTAAATAAGATTTCACTGGTGAGAAAATAATGAGTTGCCTTCACCCCATTTTGGTGCTGATTTCCCTGTGATTGTATTTTGCAAAAGTATGTGTTTCAGAATGGATTTTGCCCAAAAGAACCCTCCCCACTTTGTAATGTGTGCTGACGGTAGAATTTGGACTGCCTGTGTAGATAACGTTTGATACCTACACAGAAAATATATAGTTCTATGTATTTTTATAATATTAATAAAACACAGATTAATGGAAACTAAGGTTTTAGGGTTGCCTAATTCTGGAGCATTCAGGGTAAACCAAATATTCAAAGCAAATATTTACTTTCAACACACGTACACACTTTTAAAATGTGCTGCATTCACACAAACCTATGAGCAAACTATAAAGTCTAACTGAACAGAGAACTCACAGTGTATCCAAGTCTTTATACCTTTTAAAGCTAACGACATACAAAATCTAATGTGTTTGAGTGGAAATGCCAAATGCTAGAATGGAACCGAAGCATTATCCAAACCAAAGCTCTTCTGGCTTGTTAATTCCTGTAGGCCATCCCTATATTAAGACAGTGGGATGCGTAGCTGGTGATGAGGACTCGTATGTCACATTCTGTGACCTCTTTGACCCAGTTATTGAAGATCGACACGGAGGCTACAAACCTACGGATCAACATAAGACTGACTTGAATCCTGATAACCTGAAGGTAGGGAAGTCTTTTAAAAAGAAGCAGATACTTATGAGGGGGTCCCTGGTTCTCTCTGAACTTGTTTTCTTACAGATGTTTCATTACCCGAACTAGGTAACATCAGTCAACTGGTCAACTAGTACTGATGATACTATCTAGTTAGGATCATGAAACATCTGCAAGAAAACAAGCAAGCTCAGAGAGCGCCAGAGACCCCTCATTTAAACCCTGAGCTACAAATATTCTCCTTTATTGGCAAATATTTATTAACAGATTTCTAACTTATTCTTTTGATGCTGTACTTTCTGATTCACACTTGGTAGGCAAGTTAAAAACTACCTATTGGTAGCTTCCTTAACCTAGAATTGTTTCTGCAGCAATAGAATATGTTTACGGAGTGACATTTATGAAGGCTGCAATCTGTATTGCCAGTTTCAAAATTTTAATCGATTCCTGTTGCTAAAGAGTTTTAATAGAAATTGCACAGGTATGTTTAGGATTAGCTTAGGCCTCACTATTAGGTTTCTTTCTCATGTGTAGAAAGATATTCTTCAGGAGAGAATTTTTGTCTGTACTCTGAACATTCATTTAGAATCTTTTGGACAATAAACATGATAAATTGACTTGTTTAGTCCTTTATCCCTTAGCAGTGGAGATGGATAAATCGCTTCCATCATGGAATATAGGATTGAAGAGCACTCTATCACTAGACTGTCACTATAAAAAATAACTGGCCATGGCTAGTGAGCAGAGCTTCCTATTTGTGGAAGAAAATCATCTTTATGTTGGAGAGATTAATGAACTGATGCTCCAATTTTCTTCCAGTGCCCTCCAAATGTATTAGACTCAATTCAAGGACAGGTAAAGGACTAATAGTAATGAAGCAAATTGAAACTTTACCTGTTTTCAAGCCTCTGTAGCAGAAGAATGGCATATGTTTGGGCTCTAAAGTAAGCCCTTGATTGCCAGTATCCCATTTCCAGGATGGAGATGCCGTCCAAAAATGGGCTTTTCTCTCCATGACAATATCTCACACTTCTTCATAAGAATGACAAGAGTTGGCTTAAAATGCTTCTTTCAGCATAAGTACTGACCTTGCTTAATACATCTTCTAGGGAAATTATGGAATGGTGCTATTCATCAGCAAGGCTGGCTGTCATAAAACGTTGAAGTGGAAGCAGTTAGGAACTGGGCATTGGCTGCAATTTGTACAGCCATGTCAATCAATCAGAATAGAGCTGGAAGGGACCTTGGAGGTCTTCTAGTCCAGCCCCCTGCTCAAGCAGGAGACTATATACCATTTCAGACAAGCGACTGTCCAATTTCCTCTTAAAAATCTCCAGTGATGAAGCACCCACAATTTCTGGAGGCAAGCTGTTCCACTGGTTAATTGTCCCCACTGTTAGGAAGTTTCTCCTTAATTCCAGGTTGCTTCTCTCCTTGATTAAATTTAAATTGATTAAATTTTAATTAAAGGTTATGGAAGGACAATGAAAATACAGAACTAAGATTTAATATCACTGGCATTTAAATATAATGTGCACCATGTAACTCTGAATTTGCCTTTCATTTGCAGAGTAAGTCTAGATGGAATTAGCTGTTGGGTCTCTTACTACTATGATGAAGCTCTTTCCTTTTATAGGGTGGCGATGATTTGGACCCCAACTATGTTCTGAGTTCACGTGTCCGAACTGGTAGGAGCATCCGTGGCTTCTGTCTGCCGCCCCACTGTAGCAGAGGCGAGAGACGTGCAATTGAAAAACTTTCTGTGGAAGGTAAAATTCAGCATTGCTTGTGTACAAACCCCCCCCCCCAAACAAGTAGAATTGGTTTTAGTCCTGATGGTAATTTGATAATCAAAAAGAACAAGTAGATATAAAATAGGGTAGAATTACCCTTGCCTTTTGCATTGTTGGTAGTCCTTAACTTACAACTGTTTGTTAACAATGGACTAGAATTATGATGGCCACCAAAATGATGTTTTATGGCCCATAAAGCACATCTGGACATCACAAAATGTTGCACCAGCACTCCTGCTGAGAGGACTCCTTCTAGCTCTGGGGGGGCTGGCTGAAAGAGAGCTGCCTCCTGAGAGGAACTGATCTCCTTTAATGGGATGCAGAAATCCTACCGATTTCAGCCCCATCTTTGCATACCACCGAAGGAATTCTCTTCTGTGCATGGAGGGGAACTGCATTGCTTTGGCAGGCAGATCCTTCAGCCAGAGACAAGATGGAGCTGAAAGCTAAGCAGAGGGCATGGTAAGATAAGAAGCATGAGATGCCCCAGATGAGTGAGTGAGGCCCAGTTCATAAGACATGTAAGTATCTCTCTACTTGGGTTGAACACCCTGCTTGGATATGGGCAGGGAGGATTCTCAGCTCCTGAGCAGTGTCTCCCAGGACTTCCCTATTCCCCAACACATTCCTTACCTGGGGTCTGATCTACCTAATGATCTGTGCAAAAAATAATCACAACCATGAGTGTTGGGGATTGCAGTCGTTGCACAAAGCAGTCATGTGGGCAGTCAGTCACATGATATCTCACTTAACTGCTTCACTCAACAACCAAGATTTTGGTCCCAATTGTCAATAAATTGAGGACTATCTGATTTGTTTAATTAGATGCTTGGTGAGTATGATTGAACTATCTCTTTGAGTGTTTCATGTTAAACTCCTTTGTGCCAGCTAGAAAGCTGTACCATGCCTGTAGCTCAATGCACCTTTGAAGTCTTGCCTGCAGCAGAAAATTGAAAGGTAGTTACTCTGCTTCCCTTGCATTTATTCAAGTGAATGCAAGGGAAACAGAGTAACCACAGTTCACAGCTCCTCCTGTTTTTGCAGTGTTTTCATGTGTGGAGCTTTAAACACTTTGTTGCAGCCACCATCTTGACATGAGTGTGCTTTGCAGATAACTCTGCTGGAAGATTGTTCCTGAAAACAAACACTACTTTAGGAGTACCCAATAACTGCATGTTAATTAATGGAGCAGTTAAAAAGCAGGTACATTGAATGAAGGATGCATTCTTCCTCCCATTCCTGCCTCAAGACTCTGGAAAACAGCCAGTGCCTTGCTCTGCTAGAAAATGGTTATAAGTTAGCATGCCAGGCTGAAGCTACGCTTTTTGCTCTCTTTGGCATAATGAATGTTAGGCCAGAAGAATAATAATCACAACCATGAGTGTTGGGGATTGCAGTCGTTGCACAAAGCAGTCATGTGGGCAGTCAGTCACATGATATTCTATTAAATAACTCATTTAAAACCATCTCAATGCTTACAATCCTTGCTATTCTTCCTTCAGCTTTGGCCAGCCTGGAAGGGGATTTCAGCGGGAAGTATTATGCTTTGAAGAATTTGACAGATGCCGAACAACAACAGCTCATTGATGATCACTTCCTTTTCGATAAACCCGTTTCCCCTTTGCTCTTGGCTTCTGGAATGGCCCGTGACTGGCCTGATGGAAGGGGCATCTGGTGAGTATTGCCAGGCAAAGTTGCATCTTGAATATTAAGACATTCATTTAAGCTTGATATTGTGATTTATAAATTCTTATAGCCATCCAGTTGTGGCTTATTCAATAAAGGTGGCTTCACGATATTGTGGATTACAAGTACATGTGAAACACGTCAGTGAGTTGATCAGCAACATGTATAATTTAACGTATTAGAGACTTGCTGGAAGACAGAAGCTCTTTTAACTTAAGCTCATGTTACCTAACAGATACACTCATTCTGCATAATTAACTTGGATTTTTTTCTCCTGACCCAAACTTTTTTCTGATAAAATTGGTTTTTTTTAATTAAATAAAAATCCTAGCAGTGCAAAATAATATATACTTGTCACACTAACTTGGCATTAACCAAAGAAGTTAAAGACATGATATAAGGAAACATAATTAAAGCTAGCTTATATTAACATCATTAATTATTTCTTGCCTTCCTGTCCTTGTAAAACAATCCTTGCTTTCATGCTGCACTTTTGTTCTTTAAACTTCCTACCTGATGCTTTCTCAAGACCTCATTTATTCTATCCCACCATGACTTTTTCAGGTTCTTTACCCTAATCTGTTCGTTCATTCTTCTCACATTTGTTTTCCAGTTCAGGTTTCATTAATTCCCTCACCATATTTTTTTTTCGTGCCAGACACTCATTCAGTATTAAATTCAAATCATTCAGCATCTATTCTCATATTTTGATCTTTTAATTTACTTACCTTGCTCTCTCTGGTTACATTTGCAAATATCTGTGCTCTCCATATCCTTTACGCATATGTCTCTCATCCTCATTTTCTGCAACACTAATTTTTCTTATGTGCATTTTCCTACCCATACATCCAGGTCACTTAGAAGAATATTTCTTCTGCCTGGATGAAATGAATTCAAAAATTTTATAGTTTTGTTTTCCAAAATTTATACCTGGTTTTTCCCATTGTCTCTTTTCCTTGGAACATTACATGCAAATATCACCAGACTATGGATTCCTACATTTATGCACACCTTTATCAATGTAGACAACATATTTCATACTTAGATTTCAGTTGTTTCATTCACAGTTAATGTATACTTTCATTTGTTGTATGTATTCATTAACTCCTAATGGATTGGTTTTACATTCTGATGAAAAAATTGGTTGATGGCTAACTATTCTTGGATAGTGTAACATTCCAAGGAGCCATGGTGGCACAGTGGTTAGAATGTAATACTGTAGGCTAATTCTGCTGATTGCCAGGGGTTTGATTCTCACCAGCTGAAGGTTGATTCAGCTTGCTGTCCTTCCAAGGTCGATAAAATGATCCAGATTGCTAACTCTGTAAACCACTTAGAGAGGACTGTAAAACACTATGAAGCAGTATATAAGTCTAAGTTCTATTGCTATTACTATACTGCACTATTGGTACACCCATTTCTGAACAAATACATAATTGTAGTGAGTGCAGATTTCCCATTTATAGTTATGTGCTTGGAAGTGCTTGGTATATTTTGTTAATCTACTAGGCAACCTGTGCCCTATTGGATCAGTGTTTCAGAGATATTTCCTTATCTTTCAGAGAAGCAGAACGATCAAGGGTGGGCAAAAATGCAGTGGGCACAGGAGTGACTTCTGAATTCCTGCTAGCTTCCCCATTGAGATTCCTAGTGGGAATCTAGCAAGAAGTATTTGAAATCCCCTTCCCTTCTAGCAAGCAGGTGGCTGCCGTTGGGTGGGGAAAAAAGCAAGGGATTGCAAAGCTGGCTGGGAAGCTGTCATAGGACAATGAAAATGAAGATCACATGACTGCAGCAGCAGGTCAGCAGCAACCAATAACACTGAAATAGCTACAACTTCTCCAAATTTAATTGTCTTGGGAGTCATGAGCCCTGGTTTTGGATGGATTTGAGGTATCTTGGTTCAAAAATTATTCCCTGTGATGTAGCATTTTGCTCAGTTAAAGGTCATAGCAATGGGTATACAGTAGCCATAGTAGTAATATACAGATATGGCTACAGCAGAGTAATGGTATGAGCGCAATCAGAAGCTATAGAACATCATTTGGAAGCTTTTGGGTATGTAAACTTATATATGTTTATGCTTGAGATAAAGGAGTCTTCTTTTGTCTTCTTTTAGGCATAATGACAATAAGACTTTCCTTGTGTGGATCAATGAGGAAGATCACCTTAGAATTATTTCCATGCAAAAAGGTGGAAATATGAAAGAGGTTTTCGCTCGCTTCTGTTCTGGGCTAACACAGGTAAATATAATTGGTAATGGAAGCACGTAGACTTTGCCCAGGGATCCAAGCTGATGCAGCCTTCTCTACAATATCCAATTCAAAAGTGCTGATTTAAATACAACACAGACTTTAGGACAAACATATCAGGATATAGTGATGATAATGATTTCAAAGTATCTGTTTAGGCAGAAGTAGCGGTACAGTGAGCTTGAAAGTAAAAATGTACATCCTTCCTGCCCCAGAGACTTCTTGGATATCACTCTCCCTGTTTATTGAAGGAATAGTGGTCAAATAATAGTGATATATAATATATATTATGTCTCTGGCCAGAAATCTTAAATACTTGCAGATTTAAGGCATTCTCTAACTCAGTTGCCTGTCTTGTACTAACAGATAGTTATATGCAACTTCAGAAATGAGTTTCCAAGAGCAGAGAGGGCCAGTCCCAGCATGTCTCCAGTCCCCGCAGAGCTTATAATGAGGTTTGGCCATTGCTTGTTCTAACATTTCTAACTGGAAGGTATCTATGCTGTGGTATGCCACCATAGTTGAGATTGGGGAGGGGGGAGTCTCTTTAATTATTTGTAACCTATACAGTAACTTTGTAAATTCTCTGAGCAAATTCTTTAGGCATTAGGGTGCCTAAAATGGTAATATGTTTCTAAGCAGTAAAGAAATAGCAATCAGTGCATCACAGAAAGAATAAAAAGTTCATCTTTCATTCATTTAAGATGAAAGTATATATTAGCCCCATCCATCTATTAGGGATAAAACAAGCTGTATATTGTATTTGCTTTGTGGGGGGAGAAGGACTCTGCTTACTTTCTAGTGGTATATTGGGAACTGCATTTCAGCAAATGGACAGAGAGAAAGAAGGGGAAATAGTATTTTTGCTTATTTAAATTCAGAAACAGAAAGTGATGTAATTTACTTCCCATACATATACTTTATATGGCATACATGATACTGCATATTAAAGGAACTCCATTTTGGTGGCAGTCTTTGAATCAACTCTGCAGATTGCACCAAAGATTTATGGTCTTCATATAACATGGAGACCTTAATTTGGCCCGTCCTATGCCAATAATGTTGATTTTCATCAAGCTGAGATTATACTTTGGAGAAATACAGAGTGGAAAACCTACTTTGCATGAAGAACCTTGTGGCATGTCTTGCTCTTATAGTGCAGACTTTATCTCTTCTTCCACTTTTATGTTTGGGAACTGAAAGAACTAAACTACCTTCATACAATAAAGCAAGGGGGCAACAATCTCATCCAGCAATCTTTTATATGATCATGACAATCCCACTGCTGAGCCACTGATTGTTGCATGACAAAGCCAAAGATTCAATTAATTTTACCTGGAAATAATATGATGGCCATAATTTATTTAACATTGGAATCTGTAGATATGTTAAAAGTTGTGTTGTTGACCTTGAAAGATCTCTTTCAGTTTTCTTCAACTTGTGAAATGAAGAATGAAGTTCTTTATAACTATCTGCATTTCTCTCTAGCTTGAATCACTCTTCAAAGCTCAAAACTATGAATATATGTGGAATTCCCATCTGGGATACATCTTGACTTGCCCATCCAACCTTGGCACAGGTCTTCGGGGGGGAGTTCATGTTAAATTGCCGAATCTTAGCAAACATGAGAAATTTGGAGATATCCTCAAGAGGCTGAGGCTGCAGAAACGTGGTACAGGTGAGGAAGGAAGCATGGATGGTGCTTGTTTCATTTGTTTGAAATCATTCTGTCAAGAACTCATGAGCCAGATTATGGTGAATGATAATGATAAACATAAAATAAAACCCATTTAAACAACTTCTGAGAGGCATTTTAAAACATAACCAAACACAGTTTAAACAAAGTGATTGGGGGAAGGTCATAATACAAACAAATGAGTCTTTGATACAGATTTTTAAAACATAAATATTCTCTTTCAATCTAACTTTTGTATGCAGGGAATTTTTTTCATGTAAAAACTATTGTACAAGACCCTAGCATCACTTTGAATTATAATCAGTTTCTTCTCTCTCAACAATGAGAATTTGGCTTTGGGTAATATCTCTAATTCTGAAAAATGTCATACGTCTATCTGTATTTAAGAAATATTTCTGCCCTCCAGTTGGTAAATGCCGTATTACTGATACTTATTCAGCAGAGCCAAGATATTAATAGTTCAGCACAGATTGTCCTAAAATCTCCAACAGCCCTCAGCTTTGAAGTCTTAACAGACATGAGGCAGTTTTTTGCAAAAAGATATGCTTGCTAAGAATTCTGGGGATTTTGTAGCCCTAATATATCTGGTAATGCAGAGGTCTCCAACCTTGGCAACTTTAAGACGTGTGGACTTCAATTCCCAGAATTCTCCAGCCAGCATAGCTGGCTGGAGAATTCTGGGAGTTGAAGTCCACAAGTCTTAAAGTTGCCAAGGTTGGAGACCTCTGTGGTAATGTATAGCTGCCCAAATAAATTTGCTCTCCCGAGTCCATGGGGCTGAATCCCCACTTAAGACAGGAAGATGTTTCTTTTGCCTCCCTGAGTTGGCAGTAGGAGCACTGCTGATCACACTAGTTAGGCATCATTCTGAGGAGGATCTGCCTATAACTATCTCCCTGTACCTAGTTTGTCAAGAGTAAAAAAACAAAAATAAGATAGCAGTCCAGGGGGTTTCACCTGCTCTTGCCAAAGGCCTTGAAGAAGAGACAGGGCTCGAAGCCCCATTGAAACACTAGTAGAGTGGGAACCATCCAGATCTTGGGGGCAACCTTATTATGCAGGGCAAGTGCTACAAAGCTTCTGGCATCCTGATACAGTTTAATTGAATGAATCTAATCCTAACCCCAGCCAGATTAAATTAGCCAGGCAGATGGTAAGCAGTGGTATCAAAGGTAAGCTGTCCTCCAGGCAACCAGGCTCTCTCTGCCATGTTGTGAGGTAGCTCACAAACTACATATTCAGGCAGCCTCCGTGGGTTCTTTCACAGTGCCCATCATTCCGAGAAATCACTGGGTGATGCACAAAGGGCAGCTGTTTAGGACTGGACCTCAGAACTGCTATGGAGAACCAAATACTTCAGGCAAAGTGAAACAGCTCTGCTGGTGGTAGATTGTGAGAATACAGAAAAAGGGAATGTGACCCAATTTATGGTGTTGCATTCTGCCTCGTAGCAGGGACGACCCTATGTAGCAAGTAGAGTCTACTCAAAAAACATAAAGGCTGACTTTCCAAGACACAGTGGTATATTGTTGTGGCGGTGAGGTGTAGTCTAAGGCAGCTTAGTTTTGATGTCTGATACTTCAAAGGCACGGCCTAAATGATATGACTCCCTTAGGGTCTGATAGTCACATGCACAATTCACTTCTGGAATTTAGGAACTACATGCTGCTTTTCCTTACTAGAAGTTGTTTGAAAGGAGGCACATCCACATAAGCAATTTAGTTGGATCATTTTGTGATCTTAAGACAATCCTGCAGAATTTTAAAGGTAAACATGTTGACTGGATGGTTGTAAAATAGCGCTGTTCAAACATGCTGGAATAAGAAGTGTATATTGTAATTATTTGAATTTGAATTCTGATCCTAATGTAATAATATATTCACTGTATCGTAGAGCTTTTAATTTGGGTTCCTCACTTCTGTTTTGGTTTGTTTTAGGTGGTGTGGACACAGCAGCTGTGGGGGGAGTATTTGATATCTCCAACGCTGACCGTCTGGGATTCTCTGAAGTAGAGCTGGTGCAGATGGTAGTGGATGGAGTAAAGCTGCTGATTGAAATGGAGAAACGCCTTGAAAAGGGCCAGTGCATTAATAATATGATCCCAGCTCAGAAATGAAAAGCACTTTAATGTTCTAGCTCCTCATGCTTCTTCCTAACTTATTGGATGAATTATACACACAAAATAAAATGACACTCCGATCAAAATCATGGAGTCAAAAGAGATTTACCCACTTAGTAACATTGTAGAAAGTCTTCCATCCACATGTGTTAGAGTTTATTTTTTTGATGGCTGAAATATCACCGAGAAACTGAAATAAAACATCATTTGCCCTGAAAGGTCTCTTGATTTTGTTACTGGGTTAAAAAAGAATAATGAGGTAGCTACAGCTACAATCTTACAGCTGTCTTAAAGCTGCAGGAGCTATAGGAAGATTCTAAGCAGTAGCACAGACTAAGCATTAAGTCAACTGAGCGGACCAATGCCTATAGTGAGAGAGCTGTTTTAAAAAAAACTTGATGTGTGGACTTAAATTTCCAGAATTTCCTAGTCAGCATGTATATCTTAAGGATTCTGCAGGATAATCTTAGGATCACGAAAACATCTGTGGTATTTCTGTGTTGAGTTGTTGTTTTGGTCTATGTCCAATCAGAAAATGTTTATCATAGAAGGGTTCTGAGCTGAAGGTTTCCTCACCATAAGGTCTATCTCTTGTCCGTTAGACAAGTTCATGCCAAAGGTAGGTCTTTTAAAAACACGACTTACCTATTTTTCTTATTACTCTCCACCCTCCACAGGATGGACACCACATATGCCACATGTTTATCCAGTATCCTTTCACTCAGTGGCTAGTCTCAGTATAGAGGTGGGGGAGAGGAGTAGGAGAAATAGCTCCTGTCTGCATCCCTTAAAGCAGGGGTGTCCAACCTTGGCAACTTTAAGACTTGTGGACTTCAACTCCCAGAATTCCTCAGCCAGTTGCCAAGGTTGGACACCCCTGCCTTAAAGCAAATGCTTTTTTTGTAGTCCTGCGTCTTCCAAAATACTTTCTGGAGATAAGATTCAAACGTTGGACAAACTTAGTATTCATATTTGGTGAGCTGAGAAGGGGATGAGGCCTAAACTCGTGCAACCAGTTTACTAAATGATTATATGAATAGTGTTTATTTGTTACATTTGTATTTGCTGCCTATCTCATTGTGGATGTATTTCATAAGCCTATCTATAGCTGCTGGATTTGTCTTCCAACTATTTTCTATTTCTTGCTCATGTCTAATGAGTGCCAAGGGATTGACTTTTAACAAAGATGGTGCAATTATGTCATGGAACGTTGCTGATAGTTCTTGGGAATATTTCTCCTACCCACCCACCCACCCTGTTTTTGGTGTCACTTGGAAGAAATTTTAAGTCATAATAGGATGGATTGCTCAAGTGCTCAAATGGGTCAGAAGGGATGCTGTAAAGGCCCATGGCTGATACAAGAGTTCCAAAGAAGTCAAATTAATTAAAAAGTGCACCAGTCCAAGCCTTGCATCTCTTACACTGGATCCACTTAAACCCTTAAGAAGATTCCACCTGGCTTGCATTTTTGACACCCAGTCCCACATTATTTTGCTCCCCGCCCCCACAGAAGCTTAGTTTACATGGATTGCCATGCTTCCTCAACTGCTCATGGTCTAGTTTGTAAGCACTTGAAAAGTTAGCACATAACGTTGGATCATTGTTTTTACTACAAATCTCTCTTTAATCCTAGTAATACTAGTCTTTTCCAGCATGTTTCCCCACCAGATGTATAAAGTTCAACTCTTAAGGATTCTCTTTCATGATCATACCAGCAAGTAATTCTGAGAATTGAAGTCCATACAACTGAACACATCAAGATTGGGAAAAGTTATGTCAGAGCAGAATTGGTCAGATGCTCACCCATTCATCTTAAAGGCAATGGGATTATGGGATATACTGCTTCTAAACATGGAGGTTTCATAGAATCATCATGACTTTAGATCTGCCCTACATCTTGAAGGAACATGCATTCACTGACATATCAATGCAATGATACTGCTCAGACATGGGCAACAATGATCTCCACATCTGCTAATTAGAGGAATGAATATTTTTATAGGAACAAATCAAGAAGATACATATGAGTCATGAATTTTGGTCCTTATTTTAATCCAGGAGAAAAATGCCTAGATATTGACTTTTAGTGGTTCCTGAAAGCTATAGTAGTTTCTGGAACTTAAGGGTTGCTTCTGACAGGTACTTCTTAATTCCTCTAGTACTTTTACCCAATATTGTCTCACAGAGAAAGATATCTAATAAGGGACAATGCATCTTATGTTGCACCAACAATCTTAAATGTTTAATCCCAAAGGTGCTTTTTGAAAGGCGCTTTTTCATTTGCACCATTCAGGAAACTCTGAAGACACAGATAAACCTCCAGGTGGCTTTAACAACTTGCTAAAAGAATGCAAATGACCAGCTGTCTGCAAGGAGTATAAATTCCCCACCATCCAGATAGACCTGAAGACATTTCTTGGATGGAAAGTGAAACATATTCGAAGAAAAACCAGAAAAACCAATTGCCTCTTGAGAAAGCCCCTTTGGGGGACAGCAGTGACCCGGATGACTGAGAATCTCCATAGACACTTAAGTTTTTAACCCTATAACAGGATTGTAGTCAAGAAAGAAGCAACCCATTGAATAGCACAACATTGGACAACCGCATGGACCTTCCAATGGCATTGAATGTCAACTTCCCACAACATTGATTTATATGGCTCCTCTCATCAAAATAACTCTGGGTGGCAAACAGAATTTAAAAGCAAAATAATATAAATAACTGTAAACATAATATATGATCAAAGAAAAAGAGAAATATTAGTAGGTTCATGATTTTCATGGCTAGACAAATAGCCAAGTCTTAAGTGAAACCCAGCCAGCAAAATTGGGGCCAATCTGATAAAATGAAATCTGAGCCCAAAGCAAAAATATAATCTGAGTAAGTGTATTAGAATTGGCCCTCCCTAGTTCTCTGGAACATAAAGGCAGATAAGAGAGAGCAACATACAGACTTGCAAGACGCTTACTGTAACCTTATAATAAGGGTAAGATTAATATTCATGATTTTAGTTTTCTGTCCAGACTGTAGGAAGTTAGCACTCCCCCTCTCCTAGAAAAATGAAATATCCTAGCAAAAAGTTAGTTTTAAAGGTCTTTGACATTACTGATAATGCTATGGAAGAGGAACAAGTATTACTGGACAAGACTGAAGTTAAATCAAATGTGGGTTTAAAAATGAGGATGTGAGAAAAAAGATGAAATGTTGGATATACAAATGAAACCAGGGAATGATTTGACAACTAAAAAGAACATACAAATAATGAACCAGAAGAGTGTCTTGGATAACTTTTCTAAACTGGATTTACAAAAGAGACTTATTTTTTTTTGTCTTTTAAATTTATCTAATTAAGGTTAAACCAGTTACGTTGTGCAGTAAACTTTTATTGAATTTTTACTGATTAGAGTTGAAAGATAATGTTTGGGAGACTTGTTTAATGATAGAAAAGGAGATATGTGTAATTATAGAAAAGGAGATACAAATGTAAAAGGAAAAAAGTCAAATGGGTTTATAAGATCAAGTTTTTAATAGATAGAGGTTATTTTTGGAAACCCTTAATGGATCTTTGCTGATTAGGATTGATGAGGTTTTAAAGATTTATAAACAATGTGCTGAGATATAGAATGAAATGACTTTTTGTTGTATTTTAAGATAAAGGGGTCAGTTTAAAGTTGTTTATACTTGCTGGTATGAAGAGGAAAGTTTGTCTCCTCTCCTCTCTTTGGACTTTTCCTTTTTTCTTCTTCTTTGATATATCTTGTACTAATTTTCTCTGTACAATTGTTTAATAAACTATTATTATAGAAAAATAATTGAACTTCAGAAGGCAGTAAAATTATGAACAATTATAAAACAGAATGTAAGGAATCACTAAAAATGAAGGAATGAACTAACCCTAGGAATGGAAAATACAGACATATTCTTGAATAGTAGATACATTCAAGAAACAAATATTAAGCAACAAATATTGATCTCTGAAGATCATTTCTATTCCCACAAGAAATATCACCTGGAAATGGCTTAGCTTATAGTTTCAGAATGTACAGAAATCTTAATTTCACTTATTTCTGAGATATGGGATATTTGGTATACAGTACTCAAAAAGTCTCCTTGCTATGCTCCAAAAAACCATTGTTTTTTGTCCTTTTTACTAGATTTAATTGAATAATGCTTTAGTTCACTTGTAAAATTAATAACAAGTGAATTAAATTAATGGGAACTCAAAAAACAATACAAGCTCCCTAGGTGGAAGTAATTTATAAGCCAAAATGATTTGTAGAACTGAGAGCTGTTCACGCCATTTAGAGACCAAATTAATCTCCAAAACGCAAGGCCTCACAATGGGAACGGATCGTTCATCAAGGCCATTAGTATGAACTGCATTGTATTAAACAAAGCTGAATTGGGTGTTTCTTTTTTTGTGAACAAATAGAGTTGCTCATTTATTTCCCCATATTACCAGATTGATAGTAAATGAGGCAGGGGCAGCAAAGGCCAAATCAAAGCTCCACGTGGTTTTGGTTAAATCTCTAGTTTGAACTCAGCTGTTGAAGCACATTCTCTGGATTCCCTGTAAAATTCCATGAAGAAGTCAGGAAAAGCCTTGACAGAAAGTCTTCTTATGCCACCCTAGGTTTTAGACAGAGCAAAAATGTGTAAAGGTTGCAAACATGAACAGCTGTCAGGTGAGGAGAAAACCCCACCCCTCCTCACAAGGAACATTTAGCTGGGGGTGATTTAGCCAGACTCTGTGGGAAGGTGCATTTGTTGGGAACAGCCATTTGGGAACAGCAAACATTTCTCTGGCTCTGGTAAATCCTGCTTGATGGATTTTGGATTGTGTTTCAGACTTATGGACTTTGGACCTTGCTTTGTGAACTCTGAACCTTGTTTGTGGACTTCAAACTTCCTCCTTGACTTGTGAATTGGAGTTGGTGATTGTTGGACCTAGTTTGTGGACCAGGTTGCCCTGACTATGGATGACTGCCTTCAGGGTAAATTGGGGTAGAGCTTTACTGGCACCATTGAAGGGCTGCCTGTCACAGTAGCTGTGCAATAAACAGGCTTTATTGATACGTACACTTGCCCGGGGACCCAGGTCAGAACATCCTTTGTGGATGCCCTTTTCTCCTATTTTTTCTCATACAACAGAACATAATTCCATTTGGGTGTATTTTCTTTGCTAGCCTCATTTCAGCAAATCAGCTTCTGCTTTCT